TGCTGAAAGAGGGTCCACACGTTTCATCATCAGAATCTTGGTAGGAGCAGGACCTCCCCCGTGCAAACTAGATTGTGAACTTCTAAAAGAGTCATATTTGGTTTCACTGCACTTTGCAGATACTGAATCTTTTACAAATTGAAGGTCTGTAGCAACTCTGGGGCAAAAAAGTCTACTGGTGTCATATTTCAAATTTCTCATGATTATTATATCTGTCATGGCTCTATAAATGGGACAACAAAGTCTCAATGACAGCACATCTGTTTACTACATGGTTTACTGAGCATTTTAAGCCCACTGCTGAGACCTATTGCTCAGAAAAAAGATTCATTCCAAAATATTACTGCTCATTGACAGTGTACCTGGTCACCCAGGAGCCCTGACAGAAATGCACAAGATTCCTGTTATTTTCATGCAGCCCATGGCCAAGGAGTCATTTTGACTTTCAAGTCTCATTCTTTAGAAAATATATTCTGTAAGGCTATAGCTGCCATAGACAGTGATTCATCTGATGGATCTGGGGGAAAATAGAAAAACTTCCTGAAAAGATTCACGATCCTAGATGTCAAGAAGAACACTGATGATTCATAGGAAGAGGTCAAAATATCAACATTAACAGGAATTTGGAAGAAGTTGATTCCAACCCTCATGGATGATGTTGAGGTGTTCAAACCTTCAGTGGAGGAAGTAACAACAGGTGTACTGGAAACAGTAAGAGAACTAGAATTAGAAGTGGAGCCTGAAGATGGGATTGAATTGCTGCAATTTCATGATGAAACTTGAACGGAAGAAGGATTGCTTCCTATGGATGAGCAAAGAAAGTGGTTTCTTGAGATAGAATTTACTCCTGGTAAAGATGCAGTGAAGCTTGTTGAAAGGACAACAAAGGATTTAGAATAGTGCATAAACTTAGTTGATAAAACAGCAGCAGAATTTTGAGAGGACTGACTTCAACTTCAAGTATGGACAAAATGCTATCAAACAACACTGCTGTTACAGAAACATTGTTTGTGAAAAGAGTCAGTTGATGCAGCAAAATTCATCATTGGCTTATTTTAAGAAATTGCCACAGCCACCCCACCCTTCAGCAACCTACAGTAGGTAGGACCCTGATCAGTCATCAGCCACCAACATGGAGACAAGACACTCCGCCGAGAAGAAGATTACGAAGAGCTAAAGGCTCAGAGGACAGTTAGCAGATTTCAGTAATGAAGTAACTGCTAATTAAAGTATACGTGTTTTTTTTTTTTAAGATATAATACTATTGCATGCCTAACAAGCTACAGAATAGTACAAGCACAACTTTCTCATGCACTGAGAAACCAGAAAATTCACACGACTTGATTCACTGCGATGTCCACTTCCTGGTAATGGCCTGGAACCACCCCATAATATCTGCTGGGCATGCTTGAAGTCTCATGTCAATTTCTCATTGCTCTCCACATGCTCCAGCTTCTCTGATAAGTCAAGAAAATTCTATAAAACCCCTTTAAATTTCTGTCCTTTCTTATAGATAATGAGACAATAAAAGTCTCTTTCTATAGTGCATGTCTCAAACCAAACTATGTCATTTCAAATGAAATGGGATTTTTTCCTGAAAAACACTGGAAAAATGTCCTTTTTAGAAAGTTCTGAAGAGCCATCATCAAACAGAATTTGCGTGTGGGCAGAACACCTGGTGTCTCGCTCAGGCCCACATTCTGTCTCTTCTATGCTGGGTTTCTCACTTCAGCTTTTCCTCAGATTCAGTCACACTGTGTCAAGAAGAGGACTGATTCAGTTGACAGTCTCTGAGCTTCCATGGTCTCTAGGGTAACAGTAGTTTTTTATAATCATCCATCATGCAGAGGGTAGCAGTTTTATATGCATATTTTTTCCTTTTTGAAAAAACTTTTAAATTGAGCGAGCAAAACTTTGAAGTTACACTCATAACTGCATATTCTGAGTACTTCAATCTATTTATCTACCAGAGAAAAACCCTTCAGTTCCTGTCAGCTGTGGTTAGGCACCACGAATTGACCAGTAGCCCTTCTCTTTTCTATAATAAGGTTTCCTGGTGTCTTTTGACAGGATTATAAATACAGCATGACTACAGGCAAATATTTCTTAAAAACAAATCCCGTAGTGCAAAAGGTTTTTGGACTGAATTTTTGGAATGCAAAAGTAGGAAGTCAAGAAACACCTGGAGTAACAGGCAAATTTGGCCATGGAGTACAGAATGAAGCAGGGCAAAGGCTGATAGAGTTTTGCTAAGAGAACGCACTGGTCATAGCAAACACCCCCTTCCAACAACTCAAGAGAAGACTCTACACATGGACATCACCAGATAGTCAATACCGAAATCAGATTGATTATATTCTTTGCATCCAAAGATGGAGAACCACTATACAGTCAACAAAAACATGACCAGGAGCTGACTGTGGCTCAGATCATGAACTCCTTATTGCCAAATTCAGATTTAAATTGAAGAAAGTAGGGAAAGCCACTAGACCATTCAGGTATGACCCAAATCAAATTCCTTATGGTTATAGAGTGGAAGTGTCAAATAGATTCAAGGAATTAGATCTAGTAGACAGAGTGCCTAAAAATCTATGGACAGAGGTTCATGACATTGTACAGGAAGCAGGGATCAAGACCATCCCCAAGGAAAAGAAATGCAAAAAGTCAAAATGGTTGTTTGAGGAGGACTTACAAATAGCTGTGAAAAGAAGAGAAGCAAAAATCAAAGGAGAAAAGGAAAGATATACCCATTTGAATGCAGAGTTTCAAAGAATAGCAAGGAGAGATAAGAAAGCCTTCTTCAGTGATCAATGCAAAGAAATAAAGGAAAACAATAGAATGGGAAAGACTAGAGATCTCTTCAAGAAAATTAGAGATACCAAGGAAACATTTCATGCAACTACAGGCATAATAAACTATGGGCAAAATAAACTATAGGCAAGAATACATAGAAGAACTATACAAAAAAGATCTTCACGACCCAGATAACTATAATGGTGTGATCACTCACCTAGAACCAGACATCCTGGAATGTGAAGTCAAGTGGGCCTGAGGAAGCATCAGTACAAACAAAGCTAGTGGAGGTGATGGAATTCTAGTTGAGCTATTTCAAATCCTAAAAGATGATGCTGTGAAAGTGCTGCACTCAATATGCCAGCAAATTTGGAAAACTCAGCAGTGGCCACAGGACTGGAAAAAGTCAGTTTTCACTCCAATCCCAAAGAAAGGCAATGGCAAAGAATGCTCAAACTACCTCACAATTGCACTCATCTCACACACTAGCAAAGTAATGCTCAAAATTCTCCAAGCCAGACTTCAGCAATATGTGAACCGTGAACTTCCAGGTGTTCAAGCTGCATTCAGAAAAGGCAGAGGAAACAGAGATAAAATTGTCATCCGTTGGATCACTGAAAAAGCAAGAGGGTTCCAGAAAAACATCTACTTCTGCTTTACTGACTATGTCAAAGCCTTTGACTGTGTGGATCACAACAAACTGTGGAAAATTCTTCAAGAGATGGGGATGCCAGATCACCTGAGCTGCCTCCTGAGAAATCTGTATGCAGGTCAAGAAGCAACAGTTTGAACTGGACATGGAACTACAGACTGGTTCTAAATCGGGAAACGAGTACATCAAGGCTGTATACTGTCACCCTGTTTATTTAACTTACATGCAGAGTATATAATGAGAAAAGCCAGACTGGATAAAGTACAAGCTGGAATCAAGACTGCCAGGAGAAATATCAATAACTTCATATATGCAGATGACACCACACTTATGGCAAAAAGTGAAGAGAAACTAAAAAGCCTCTTGATGAACATGAAAGAGGAGAGTGAAAAAGTTAGCTTTAAGCTAAACATTCAGAAAACTAAGATCATGGCATCTGGTCCCATCACTTCATGGCAGATAGCTGGGGAAACAGTGGAAACAGCGGCAGACTTTTTTTTTTGGTGGGGGAGGGCTCCAAAATCACTGCAGATGGTGACTGCACCCATGAAATTAAAAGACACTTGCTCCTTGGAAGAAAAGTTATGACCAACCCAGATGGCATATTAAAAAGCAGAGACATTACTCTGACAATAAAGGTCCATCTAGTCAAAGTATGCTTTTTCCAGTAGTCATGATGGATGTGAGAGTTGGACTATAAAGAAAGCTGAGCACTGAAGAATTGATGCTTTTGAACTGTGATGTTGGCGAAGACTCTTGAGAGCTCCTTGGCTAGCAAGGAGATCCAACCAGTCCATCCTAAAGGAAATCAGTCCTGAATATTCACTGGAAGGACTGATGCTGAAGCTGAAACTCCAATAGTTTGTCCACCTGATGCGAAGAACTGACTCATTGGAAAAGACCCTGATGCTGGGAAAGATTGAAGCTGGGAGAAGAAGGGGTCGACAGGATGAGATGGTTGGATGGCATCACCGACTCAGTGGACATGAGTATGAGTAAACTCTGGGAGTTGGTGATGGACAGGGAAGCTCGGTGTGCTGCAGTCCATGGGGTTGCAAAGGGTCGGACATGACTGAGTGACTGAACTGATCTGAACTGAAAAGGAGATACTGTGCAAACGTGGAGGAGACACCTGAGTTAATAATGATAAATAATGACATATTATTGCTGTTATTATCATAGCAAAATTATTAAATACATTTAGATTAGCAGATAATGATCAGCTTTAAGTTTGAATGAGTAATAGTTAAAAATCTATTTCTGGAATGTCAAATACTAACAAGATATCCTATATTACATGTATAGTACAAACAAATTTATAAAAAATATATACCAAATATATATAATCTATTTACATATTTTTGATGTATTAATACATATTTTTAACGTATATTCTGGAGAAGGAAATGAGGTTGCAAAAGAGTTGGATATGACAGCAAATAAACAACAAAAATTGTATATTAATATGCATAATTGTTGACTTAACTGTGATTAGCATGTTATGTATACTGAGAGTGAAATAGCTGGTAAACAAATATTGTCCTTGAAGACTTACCTTGGGGTCCAGGGTCTCCAGGAGGTCCAGGTAACCCATCCTTGCCTGGAGGCCCAGGCCTCCCATGAGCTTGAGCAGCCAGCATTGCTGCTGGGAGCTTGAGCTGGGATAGGAACACAGCCATCCTCTCTTCATTGATGAAAGGAAAAATAATACATCATGTTACAGAAATACTTTGTATGTCAAAAGTTTTCAAATTTGTTTCTCATGAAATTCAACAAAAATTGATTTGGTTTTCAATTTATGTATGTCTAGTTTACCAAGTGGTCTGATTGCTAAGAGTTCTTTTGATTGTTCAAGTAAAACAGTTGTACAAGGTTGCTTCAACACGAAGACAGGTAAGTTGTGACAATGAGAGGCTCTGAGGTCCTTCAGTGATTCAGAGATGTTGCCGACCTAGTGGGCAACGTCCTAGAGCCTGGTTAACCTCTGTGGTGACTTGTGGAGAGAACTCAGGTTCGTATTCAAAAAATGGTTGTTATAATAAATTTAAGCCTCTTTCCAGCAATACTGTTAACGTGCCTGTGGTGATTTAAAATATGCTGATAAAGTCTTTGACACTCCCTTCCAGGTGGAATTCAGTTCAGTTCAGTTCAGTCGCTCGGTCGTGTCCGACTCTTTGCGACCCCATGAGTGGAATTAGGTGGAGCCTCATCCTCCTATTACAGAGTGTGGGCTGGACTTTCTTTTACTTTTAATGAATAGGAAAAAGGCAAGTAGGGAGACTAATTGATAAAGGCTGCTGACTTCCTGGCTGCATTCTCTCTTAGCTTCTCATTCTGAGGGAAGCCAGCTGCCACATCCTGAGGACACAAACAGACCTGCATGGGGTGAACTGAAGCCATCTGCCAATAGCCACATGACTGAGCCTGGACATGTCTCTCCCAGCCCCAGCCAAGCCCGCAGGGGACGTAAGCTGGCACTCTGAACATAATTCATGACAGACTGAGTCCGAACCACACAACTAAGCAATTCAGGAAGTCCCTGACCCAGAAAAAATGTGTGATGATAACCACTGTTGTTTTAAGCCACTGAAGTTCTGAGAAACTTTCTTATGTAGCAATAGGTAACTCATATGGTATTATCTATGTTTTTATAAGTCCCATGCACTATAATGATTACCTGCTGATAAGCTTTATTTTATGACTATAAATCTGTCATATAATTATTTTCAGAATTATTTTTCTAATAATCAAGTCACAGTTATACTTATTATTATAGAATTCTTGGTTATTAATATCACATAGACCATTATTTAAATTTCACCTCAGAAGCATGTTCAATATTTTACCACTATGTCATTGGGAAGATGGCCTGGAGAAGGGAACAGCTACCCACTCCGGTATTCTTGCGAGGAGAAGGCCATGGACAGAGGAGCCTGCGGCTGTAGTCCAGTGTCTGAGTCAGAAGTGACCGAGTGGGTAACACAGTTACAGAGCTCATATTTAACAAACCTAATACATACACAGCTAGATTTAAATCAGAAAACTGGAGGAGGGCATATCCTTGCTATGAGAAAAAGAAACAGTATTCTTTTCATGTATTTTCTTTAAAAAGCAAATTCAAATGATTTCAATTGTGAAACTAAGCACAATTTTTTGAAGATACAGCTAATAAGTATTAAGAAATGAATCTTTCATGTGAAAAATTCCAGACAAGTGTTTTACTGATTACACTAGTGTAAATTTTGCAAGTAAGGACAAAATGTAACACATTAGAATCCATAGCTGCCAGCTGGGAAAAACAAGGGCCAAATCACAGAGACCTGTAAAGAGGTACCTCAGCTTTCTCCAGACTTTTCACTCAGTGTAGTTTTATTTAAACTTGGAAGATACTTTTCACTTCAACAGATACGTCTGTTTTATAAATTTTTGATAAAGAACAAGTTACTCTTGAGTAACCTATTTTTCAGTGGGCTTTCAATGAGAAATTTTGTTTAAAAAATGTAGGTCCACACACTGTTTAGGAAGTAAAGCAAAATTATTTTCAAATAGAATTATTAAAGAAAAAGCCCCGACAAACATGGAGTATTAGCTATACTTACCGAAAGAGTAATCACCCTACACTCACATCTGAAATCAAAAAAAGCCAGAAGGGAAACAGGACAGCATCCGCAGGACCAGAATCTCCAGGGAAGATTTACTGACTGTGATGAAGGGGACAAAAGGGGATTGATAGCTCATCTCTAAAAGTGACATTAAGTCACTGACTTTCCATAACACTTTTCATTACCTTTCTATCTGGGCCATGTTTGGTTGCTGTGAATACATCTGTTTTGAGTAACAGTATATAAAACAAATTTGCAATTAATATATATATATATATATATATATATAGTTTTGCAAGATAGAATATCTTTAATTGTAAACTGAGTACTTTATAAAAATATGAAATTCAATGTTTACAGCTTGAAACTTTGCATATTAGTTATTGTTTTGCACTTAAAAGATAGATATATACTTCAATACAATTTTTCTTAATTTGAGACATACCTCTCTGAATGCCTTCAATGTCTAAACAAAATATTCCTATCACTACTTCTTCCTCTTTAACATATGAATTGAATTTACAACTACTTTGCTTTTGGTGCTTTTAAATATTTTCAGGAAAAGTTTTTTTTAAATTTTTAAAAATTAATTTATTTTAATTGGAGGCTAATTACTTTACAATATTGTGGTGGCTGTTGCCATATGTTGACATGAATCAGCCACGGGTGTATATGTGTCCCCCATCCTGAACGCCCCTCCCAACTACATCCCCATCCCGATGTATTTTTTTAGTTTATTATTGTTTTTTATTGAAAGATAATTGCTTTACAGAATTTTGCTGTTTTCTGTCAAACCTCAACATGACTCAGCCATAGGGATACATATACCCCCTCCCTCATGAACCTCCCCCCATCTCCCTCCCCACCCCACCCCACTAGGTTGATACAGAGCCCCTGTTTGAGCTTTCTGAGACATACAGGAAATTCCTGTTGGCCATCTATTTTACATATGGTCATGTAAGTTTCCATGTTATTCCTCCCATACATCTCACCCTCTCCTCCCCTCTCCCCATGTCCATAAGTCTATTCTCTATGCCTGCTTCTCCACTGTTGTATTCTAACACATGTATACAGAATCTAGAAAAATGGTACTGAAGAATTTATTTACAGGGCATCAATAATTTTTTAAATAATTACTTCTGCTGTAAATTATCTAGCTTTAAGAAACGCTCAGGAAGAGTCATTTAGCATAAGAGTAATTACTTCCTCTGAACCACACTCTAATGCTCTATAATTTTAAGTAATACATTTCTGAGCCAGTAAATAAATTATAAAGGCCTGTATTCTTAATTGTTTTTCCTCTGTTTTCACGGATCTTTGGTCAATAAACTGTTTTTGGCTGCACTTTCTAATGAGGCAGGAAACTAAAGAGTCTGGATAGGCGCATGCATAAAGCAGACACACAGAGCCTGTCTGCCAAGGCAAACCCACAGCAGTCATAGCGGTCATTCTAACAGATGAGACCAGGGGCGGGCCTTCCTTGGAGAAAGGGCTCGTTAATATCAAGCAGACACAAATATTAATGTGGTGATAAAGTACCTAAGACAGAGAAGGAAGGGACACTCAGACATCTAACCCATGGTCTACCTTCTATTTCAGAGATAGAATTTGTAAATATTTTCAAAGAGAGATCCATCTTTTTCTCCTAAAGCCCATTCAAATGTTTAATTGCCCATTTTCTTGATAGAGCTTCAATTTATTTTCTTATGTTACTCCATTATGGAAACAGAGACTAGTTACTGAGTGATTTCCCTTGGGAAATCAGTCATCAATTTGATAATATTGTTACATCTTGGCCTTCAGGTTAAGTAACTTTTATTCATAGGCTTGGTAATCTGTTCTATAAATCATGTTTTGGTTCTACTATTCTGGGGCTTTCCATGTATCTCTTAAATGTGGAAACCAAAATTAAATACAGTTATCTCCTAATGAACAAAAATATCAGAAGAGCAATTTCCTTTCATATCTTAAGAATGATTTTCCAGTTTCATGTTAACTGTTAATTCAGCAGTATCATTTGGTGGCTTCATATTCGCTCAGGGGCTCATCATGACTCAAGGGTTGTTATTGCTATATCTAACTCTGGCTGGATCTAATCCTTTGTTACCTTTGTTGCTTTGAAATGTTATTATGAGTAAAGATGGTAGATTGAACACATGTGTCTGCTTTAACTCTTTCTTACATCCCTACAAAAACAATGGTAAATTATTTTTAAAGGCATAAAACCATGAGAATAGGAGAATGACATCATGAAAGGAGATGACATTAAACTCTGGAAGCTCTCAGATGGTGGAGTGTGCATAACTTCACAGACTCACGAAAATCAAATCTTTGCACTGGAAGCTGAGGGACAGCCTGTGTCAAACCATAAAATCTTTAAAATATTTAGAATTGACTGCATGAGTTACATGTGGAAGAGAGGGTGAAGGAGGGGAACTGAAATGAGGGAGATTGGTTGGAAGCCTGTTTAGGAAATGGTCTTAGAAATCCCCTTCTCTGCTTGTGCAGCTGGCTCACTGCCCCTTCCCAATTTCAGCCTGAAGGTTTATTATCTGAAAAGCGCAAACAGACCATCTCTGCACGGAAGACCACAGACTGTGTTGAGGCTTCCAGAATGAGAACAAGGAGAAGAGATGGAAACTGCAGTGCTTGCAGCTGAGGCCCCAGCAGGAGCCTCCTACCCTGCTCCCCAGATGGTAGCAGCCAGGCAGGTAACGCAAATGTTTCCTCTGGGGAATCTGATCAGAATGAGACTTCAAGACACTGAAGTTGAGGGTCCTGCAATTAAAAAAACCCAACTAGACTACCTACAGTAAAGCTCATGGTTGGCAACACCACCATTCACTCCTAATAGTCCATCAGTTTTTTCTAGAACCCATGCTTTTGTATGAGCAGATGGCTAAGGATGACTGGTGCCGAGGGAACCCTCTAAGTTGTATGATAGACCTAAACAAACTGAAAGAAGCAGAGTGCAAGAAACAGAGACTATGATGTGGCAAGTATTTTTAAAAATTACATCTCCAATTTTGTCTACCTATGAGATGATATGTATATACACAAATTTGTGGTTGTTGTTCAGTCC